TAACTTTTAGATTCCAATTAGGTAGTAGTATCAACGTATTGTACATTGCATTTTTCATAATATTGGAGTTAAAATTCGATTTACGACCCGCGGATCTTCACGCTGCTCGACTTCCAGCATATTATCAAGTCTAGGCTGCGCGATGTATTAATATGATGATAATTAATTATGTATGATTGCGCTACGGTCAGCGGACACGGCCACTGCGGGTAAAAACACTTGCTATTTATAGTATTTAAAGGGCGAGTTTCTTTCGTCATAGCCCGCTGCGCAATCTTATTCTTTTCCATACGCTTGCTATCCCATAGCATACCACACGATAACACACGTTTATAGACACGATTCCGTGCCACATGCGACGATTTTCTTTACTTTATTTACCCGCAATGTAGGAAATAAACTAACATAAAAAACTAAATGTGGATAAGTAACATGGGCGTCGCCGAATTTTCTTCTAGAGGATGCACCTGAAATAGCTGTAATTTACAACATTAAAAAGAGAAGATTTTTGCATCCCTATAACGACGTCCATGGGTGTACAGGAGATAGCACTTTGATAGCTATTCTACCTAGCGTTTTGTCTGTTTAGTATTTCATCATGTTAAACCAATTTATTGATAAATGTGTACCTACTTTACGAAATGTTTTAAGAAAAATATATCATGTAAAGGTAATCAGAAATTGATTAATAATTAAATATGTAATTAGTTATTGTTGCGTAAGTTAAGTGAAACGTCTAAATGGAATCGAAGTAAAGCCTTTTGAAGCCCGTATCTATTTGATTAAATGAACATAATAAAAAGTTAGTCAGTGAACGTTCGGCCTTGTCAGTCTTTTTAGTAACGCTTTGGTTAGTTACCTACGTATAATGCTAGATAAACAAGCATATTTCCACTTAGAAGAGAATGGCTTTGGCTTTATATTAAATACGCCACCGTCATCAGACAGAACCCGGTGTGCCAAAACGCGTTTGTTTTATTTTACGCTTGTTTAATACCAATAGAAAAATAAACGCCATGTTTAAATTGTCATCGAAATGTTTTTTCTGTTGCTAAACATCAGATATCGTTTATAACGAAGAACCGTTTATACGCAAACTCGTTTAATCTCTTACAGCCGTTTTTGTCCAAAAAACTTGTGATGTACTACCGTACTCGATACACAATATTTGGTCGCTAATCAATCGAGACTTCTTATGGCGCGCTGATGAGATCAAATATGGAAATCGCTATCCACGCCTAGAAGTTTCGCACCCTCGAACTTTTTTGAGAGCAACGGTAGTCGCAATATGTTGCATGTATAGTTCAATGGCTGGTACAATTTTGCGAATTTTAATTAACGCCGACGAGTGAGCAAAGAATGAATAATGTTATTATGGTAGTGAGTAGCAGTTGAAAGTGTATTTTTGTATCTGCAGACACGTCGGCCGGTCTCGTCGACAAACAACCGCGACATCCCGTTTTATTGTGAATGAAAAACGGCATGACTGAACTTCAAGTATGTAGAAATGTATGCACATGCATGCAGGCATTTATGTGTATGCGCTGTTACGTAACTTTGAAGAAAGAATCAAATGAGTCTGGCGATTTGATCTCTGGCCCAGACAAACAGAATTACAAGCAGAATAATTTGATTTTTTCTAGATTGTGTATTTTTTTTACAAAGTACATCATTAAATTGAATTTTCCTTCTTTGCTACTCTTTCTTCAGACCTTTTTATAAGTGCGTACATTAACATAAATCACTTTCCCTTATTTTACTACTTAAGGGTTAGGTTATGGTTGAGAAGGTTGTTTATTCCGATTAAATCTTAAATCCGACCGTCACGATACCTGTAACTTTCAAGATTCCAAAAAATTTATATACTAACTGCCTATAACTTGAATTAGCTGGCCGTTTTCATATATTAGCCTTAACAGAGTTGGGCAAGCTCTAAGCCCAAAGGCTTCACTTATAATTGGAAATTACTTCGAAAGCTATTAGGAATTCAAATACCTACGTACTTCGAAAATGCTTCAAGTACTTTGATCCCTATGAATTACAAATTACAAAGCACTTTTATAAAGCCAACCAAGCCCCAATTATTTATTTATCAAAGAGTTTTCAAGACCTGGAAGGGCTGGAAACACATCTTCAACCATAAAGAACTTAAGCTCTGTCCAGCTATACGTGTATGATAATGTCCAGTTTAAAGGGACGTTTTCTATTTTTTTTTCTTTGTGTGAAGGTAAACAGTAAATTTAATATGGTCATCACATTTATGGTATGGTAGTGCTGGAGAGGATCGTCATCAGCAGCGGCGGCGCAATAGCGCGTGGTCACGGTACCACGGAGGCGCTAGATGCGTCACTTCCCTTTCCGGCTGCCAGATGACATCCCTTAGCACCTGTACCACTTCAATTTATATTATGAACATCTGAACTTTTCTGTCGGTACTACTACAGTAGTTGTTGAGATATCTAAACTCAAATTTTTATTATTAGACTACCTAAAAACACGTCGTCGGTGTATCTTCTTAAACTTATTTCTATTTCGTGTATCGAAATAACATTCCTTCGTCACCAAAGTTAATCTACTCGATTATCTACCAAAAATATTCATTTCTTTTGTATTTCGCGTGTTATACACTTTATTTAATTCATTTCCGGTAGAGATGACGAAATGTTATCTTGTTAGTGACTAATAACTGATGGAAAGTTCTTTCAATACATGTTGTAATGAAGTACCTAACAAATTTTTTGTCATGTTAAATACCATACGGAACTTTGACATCTAAAAGTTGATCGTAGAAAATGCTAAACAAATAAAATAAAATATTTTGTGTTTCAAAAGTCCTTTAAACTTTAACTTGTTATTTGTCCTTTTTTTTTATCTGAAAAGAATCGGTGAAGTGCTCATTTTCTTATCCCGTTTCCATCGATCACTAATGGAATTAACATGTAAACAAGGCGAACGAGATCGTTATCTCATTTCGAAGATTTACCCCTATGGCACAGCAGAGCCTTAAAATATTGATCGACATAGGGCCCAGGCGAAGCCTGCATACCTTTTAATTAGTATACAAAACAAATTTTTCATTTAATTAAAATTTTCCTCGAACGTTAAGATATTTTTCCTGATTTCTCGTCAAGTTCCAATCGACTATGGTAGATATTATCTATTTGACGGTCTCCTTGGCTATTAAAGGAGCACAGTGTTGCTATTATATCTGTTCCGTTATGTTTAGAAATGTACACAACATGTACCAAGTTACGATTAGTTTGAAATTTACAAATCTCAAGCATAATCAGGAAGTTGTTTAGCGAGCCGAGGCTTGCACTTGTATCCTACATAAATATATGTGTGTCTATACACTAGTGGCGAGTTGAGATCATAGGGATATTTTATTACATGCAATGTATGTATATGTATGTATGTATGTATGTATGTATGTATGTATGTATGTATGTATGTATGTATGTATGTATGTATGTATGTATGTATGTATGTATGTATGTATGTATGTNTATTTATTTTATTTTTATAAAAAGGAATGAATCTCGCAGTCATCTGCTTGTAAAAGCGCTGTCGAATAATATGATGAGATGTCAACGTTTTTGACGGAAATGTATAAAAATAATGTTTTGTAGAGTAACATTATTTTATTTTACCTTTAAAAAAAGCATAACATTCTTGTTATTTTGAGCTTCGTCTTTTTAAAGTGCAGTATTATTTTTTTTACTGCACCCTCACACCACGTACAGTTGTTGAACAATATATATGTATAAAACATAAGATTACGATTTTTATCTAACTGTATCTCCTAAAAAGGTAAATAAATGTTCATAAAAATTTACTCTATTATTAGTGCCAAACTAATAGTTAATTTATTTTCGTCCTTCAATTTTTAGTGCCTCAACCTTGGCGTTACATAACAGTAGCATTGAAGGAATTGATCAATAATGTCACGAAATGAAACCTCAGCAAAAGCTTACGTATTTGCTATAGAATGTAAAATATCATTGTACTTATTATTTAGTAAAATAATAAATAACTTTTCCTACTAATCGTAAAAATACGATAAATGATACAGTAGAAAAGAGTTATGCTGATGGTAACATAGGTACAACTGTAGGTATAATCGCGTATATTTATTATGTTTTTGTAAGTTACCTATTAATTCAAACACACGTTTCAGGGCAGTTTGCCTGTAATAAATCAAACCTTTTCGGTTTTCTTAAAGGCGTGTAAATCCTTAAATTCACCGTAACTGCCGATGTACACGATATATTCCGGACTGAATGTGTCAGAATAAAAAAAATTATAAGTTACGAACAAAATGAAAAACCTAGTGGTCAAATATGAGTCGTTATTACTAATGAGGAAAATATTATTAGCAACAAATAATTCATGAATTTATCAACGTTTCCTTAAAGAAATAAAAGTAATTTTATTCGTTGGACATCGTGAATCGGTTGCTTGTTATAGAATCGTTACGTTTACTCAAAATTGTAAAAATAACTAAGTAGCTGTACATAATCCTTTTCATTCGCAAACTTTATGGAGTATTGGCAAACATAAAAGGTGTTGAACATGTATAAAAGCTTATCCCTTCATTTCCTCCGATCATTTGTAAACCTGTCATTTTGGATAACGAGCAATTCCAACAGAACTGCAAACCGTTTAAAAGACAGTTATCTATATGCATATTATGTATAAATTCCTATATAAACTGAAAAGAACGTATATATACCAGTTGGCATTATCCCATTCATAACTCTATATACAAATGGAGGTCCCTATTCTTATTCGTTCGTTGTAAGGGCACTGCAATATTTGTGAAAATATAAAGCATAAAATTTATTATGGTTAACTTCGTTTTACATTTAAGTATATACTGTTAGACATGATAAACAAAATGACTTAGCCCTTATGGAAAATGTCAAATTAATTTTTTTGAATGTTTTATTGACAATGTAAAAACGGCGAATGACATTTATATCGGAACAAATTATTAAATCTGTTTTTGTTCAGGTGCTTGCTCTTCAAGAACGACGCCGAAACCTCGGCCACCTCCACCCACCCCACGGCCAAACATCACATTCCACACATACGAGTGTCCACCCGCTTATTCGGCATGGTACTGTCTTAATGGGGCAACTTGTTTTACTGTTAAAATCGGGGAATCCCTCCTCTATAATTGCGAGTAAGTCTTCTTAATCATAATGTTTCAATAATAATAGATATTATGTGAAATAATTGTTTAGTTATAAAAATGTTTTCTTATTGCAGATGTGCAGAAGGCTATATGGGTGCTAGATGTGAATTCAAAGATCTAGATGGAACATATTTGCGTAAGTCCATTTTTGATTATTACATACAATCGAATTTTAAAAAAAATAGTTGCTGCTTTGTCTTCAGCGCATCTCATTTTTCGATAATTTAAAGACAGTTGATGGCATACATTGATTAGTGATAGTAATATGCTTTGTTGTTACATTTCAGCATCTCAACGAAGGTTTATGTTGGAGACAGCAAGTATAGCAGGAGGGGCCACGATCGCAGTATTCCTAGTAGTCATTTTGTGTGTGGTTGTGTATATTAATTATAAAAGAAGAACCAAAGCGTCGCAGGTCGCCGCAAGCGACTGCGTCGATGGACGCATCGGAGGTGCGTTGCGTTCGCAACCGACGTTCGGGACGCGGTGGCGGACTTCAACTAACAATTCAACGACTGCAACAACGGACTTAACGATTCGTGTGCATGATCGTGGTGATCATAGACACAGTGGTAATAATAAAGTCGAACTACAACAGATTACTACCCTCCTAGGTAACACCGAGCAGCCTTCAAAAGTTTGAAAGTTTATTTAGTTAGTGGTAAACTAATGAAATAACAATTGCGACAACGAAAACGAAAACTGAAGAAGAAGAAAGAACGAAAGATACGGAAAAAAAAAACAAAAAGGCTAAATCGAACCCGAACCGTACCGTTGTTGTCTCGTGTATTTAAATTAAAGTGATGATCCTTGTTTTTGTTTAATAATTACATATAGAACTTATGTGAAGGTTTAAATTTATTCACGCAAAAAAAAGAAACAATAATGTTGTATAAACTATTTATACAGAAGTGTTAAGCACTTGTTATATGCAGCTTTGCTACTAGTTATTTATTTTATTTTTATAAAAAGGAATGAATCTCGCAGTCATCTGCTTGTAAAAGCGCTGTCGAATAATATGATGAGATGTCAACGTTTTTGACGGAAATGTATAAAAATAATGTTTTGTAGAGTAACATTATTTTATTTTACCTTTAAAAAAAGCATAACATTCTTGTTATTTTGAGCTTCGTCTTTTTAAAGTGCAGTATTATTTTTTTTACTGCACCCTCACACCACGTACAGTTGTTGAACAATATTTTTTCTTTTTCTACATATATTTTGTACAAGTCTGATCAGTGAGTCTGAATTATGTAAGTATGTTAATGTATGTATATAGAGTACCTCATAGAGGTATTATTTTATTTAACACTATAAATAATAAGCCGTTCGCGTTGAAGTAATGCTTACTTTTCCATCACATTTTTTACATCACGAAACTGTTACATTCCCCCGGTATAGAATTAAATTTTTTTTTGTTTTTGACGTTAAATAAAAATGTTTCTCTCTTGATATATTTTATCTATACATACAGGCTTTGGCATTTTCTGTGTTTGAAAAATCCACTGTTTTTCTAGCGCACACACACGTATTATTTCTTTCGTCGTCGCATTGATCGTGCAAAGTGCGGAAAAATTGCCGTTTTTTTTAAATCTTTTTCACTAGCCTATTTCCTTGAATTAACGTTTGTGATATTTTTTTTGTTTTTTCGGAAAATAGGCATTTGGAATGGAAAAAGGAAAACAAAATGGCAATTTTATTAATTACCACTTTGCATTATTAATTTGTACGATGTTTATAAGAAGAGAAAACTGCAGTATAATACACATTTTAATAACGATGATAAAGAGTGGATTTTTTTAACCCGACAACATATACAACATTGTTAGTAGGAATGGCATATTTAAAATATATATGCATTTTGTCGTTTATGTCTTCTAAAGAACAAAAAAGAAGCGTATGCAGTGTACAAAGATGTAGATATAAAATTAATAACGAAGTAATTTTTCCGCATCTTTTTGCACCGTGCTAAATAAAAATTAGAAATAATTATTTAATGAACATATTTCTAAGCACTTTGTTCCTAACTTATTATAAATAACGTGTAACTACTACATACATACATACATAAAACACATGTCCTGTATTATTTTAATCGGGTATTTACATTAAAATACCTTGCATTACTCATTAATTCGACCTTGTCAAAGTCTCGATTGTTTTTTGTTTATTTTTAGTGTTGATATGTAAAAATATATTGTAAAAATAGCGTTTTTTATAAATTCCTAATTTAAAAAATTTTGGCGAGGAATACGTTAAACAGCAGCCGATTCTAATGCGGAACAAAAACGTATAAGTATTAATGATAGAATATCATTTTTCAAACTAAACTTTGCGGTTTAATGAATACGAGACGACTTTGTCAAATGTACAGATATAAAATGTAAAATACGCAAGATTTAATACATGTACTCTCATGGTTAGCAGTGTGACCACTCGTCCCGCACTCTTTTTAAACGGATGTCGGATCCGAGTCTTTTATATGATACATGTACCTGCGACTTATGGCAAACAATACCCTTTCGAATTTTTAATAAATACGTAGATTATTGTTTGTAATTGGCAATAAATTGATTGTTATCGCTTAGGTATTATTAATTTAATAGTAAATGAAAAACTTGCGCTTCTCTGTTTACTAAATTAACAAAAATAATTCACTTACATCGAGTATTCAATGACATACATCAGGACAGTGTTATAATAGCTCTCTTTAGTTTTTCTCTTTTCTTTCGTTTTTTATCGTTAGATTTGTGTTGTATCGTTGCATCCATAAACAATTGCACGCTGTTATCGTATTCGATTTCACGCTGTAAAAGTTGTAGTCCAAATAAATTATATCCGATCATATCCTGAAACAAGCAATTACTTCAAATTAACGTTTTGCATTTGTATATTGATAAATGCTTACCCTTAAACCGTTTATTTTGATCATGGCGAGTTTCTGAATTTTTTTTAGAGTTGGTAACAACTCTTGACTGGCAACAATTGGTTTATGATGAATTTTAAGTAAAAACATCGTTAATTTCAAAATTAACTCGGTTTGATCGCCTCTTTTTATAAGATTGGGTAATTTTTGTAAGATTTCTGTCACAGTGGAAAATGGTAGAAGAAGAAGTGCTTCCTCCAAATTACTAAAACATTCAAATAATCACTAAAATTGTAGGAAAATAAAATTAAATATCTACCTTGTTCTAATACGTTTAAGTGTTTCAAGTAAAAAGTCGTCAGTTGTGGTCACATTAAACGCCTGCATGAGTGGGGGCACAGTCTTGATGACTTTTTCTTGTGATACTTGCTGATCATATTGTCTACTAACTTCTAAACATTCTAGGATACTTTCAGCGCCCCTTTCACTGCTAAGTGTCTTTTTGGATGGTAAGCTAACTCCCTTTATACCTGGAACGGTAGTTTCATCTCCTGTTGCTAATTGTTCTTGCTCCTCCCTTTCTTCCTCTTCTTCATCCTGTAGAACAAGCATTTGATCTGACTTTTCATACATTCTCAAAGTCTTATCGGAACCCGAAGACACTAAATATTGTCCACTAGGGCTCACTGCTAAACTCCAGGCTTCACCATTGTGTCCCTAAACAATTTTTGATTTTAAATATTTACTCGAGTATGTTGTGGTTTTATTTGAAGTACCCACATGTAATGTTATTATTTTATTAAAACTGTCGCCGTCCCATTGCTTGACTTTGCCATCTTTTCCGCAGGTGAAGAAGTAGTGGGTCTTGTGTACAAACTGCAACCCGGTTACGGAATCCTCGTGGGCGAGCAAACTTTTGTGGCAGTCTCCAAAGTCCATTCCCCATATTTTTACACTACGATCTGCCGATCCCGTCACAATTAAAGTAGAATCTGAACTTATATCCATGCACAGAACAGGTAACTTATGACCGTACAAAGACAAATAGAACTGGAAAAAATAGGCGCAATTATTAGAAAAAAGTGTGCTTGTAATGTACTGTACTGATTGCTACCTTAAAAGTGTCAATAAAAAATATTTTTACGGTCGAATCGAGAAGTGCAACTGCAATAAATTTACCATTTGGGGATATCTTTACACACAAAACAACATCTTCTAACTGCAAAGTACGAGTATGTACAAGTGACAAAACCTTTGCCTTAGTTTCACTATTTTCATCTATTATTAATTCAAAATTCCAAAACTTAACCGTATGGTCTGCCCCAGTCACACAGCCCCTCTAAACAAATAAAAATTATACATACAATTTAGCTTATTGTAAACAAAATCACCATATCAGGTTGTAAACAAATAGACCATAATTCTTTTGTATGAGCAGGTATTTCTTCAAGTATATCTCCACTTGCAATGTCTGTTATTAGCAATTTACCAGTTTTAAGTCCTACAAGAACATGTCGATCTCCTGGGACAAACAAGACTGACAATACATATCTGCAATGTAAAAAGCATATGTATATAATATTTGATTCTTTTATTTACAGAATAGCCTTACCCCGTTTGAATGGTTCTCAAACAAACTTGGGAAGGCCTATTCCATAACTTTACAGTTTCACCACTTCCAGAAACAATTCCCAAATTGTCACTACTAAAGGCAACTGCCCTTACATCACTTCTATGTCCTTGGTTGACTATAGTTCGAAGACATTTAAATTCAGAATTTTTCTCTTTAATATTTAAACTGTGTAAATGTAACGAATTATCGGCCAGAGAAGAAACAATTCTAAGAATTTCTGCACGCCCTAATATTAAACTGAACGATTTTAGTTTACTAGAAAGTTTCAATGTTGGCAGCCTTTGAACTTCATCTTTTAAACTAAGTTCAACATTCTCTGTATTTACTTCATTTTCATCGGTTTCCATATCAGTATCCTTTCTATAAATAAATAAAATATGCAAAAAATGATACAAACATCGTTTTTTTAGTTCCTCACTTTTCTTTCTTTCTCTGTTTTTTCAATCGTTTTTTTAATCTTAATTGTGCTTCTTCATCAGTGCAAAACAAGAACAGTTCAATTTGAGAATCTGTACCATGGCAACCCAAAATATGTCCCGAAGGGTCACTATACATGGATACTACACGTCCCCTTCCAGATCTTAAGAGTGAACCCACTTTATGACATTGAATCGGGTGCTACAAATTCACAATTGTATTTTAATTTACACTATAAAATCATGGAAAATTAATAAATACTGTTAAATCATCATCTGTTTCCAAATTTGCAATTTCCAGCATATTTGACAAGTGTTCAAGGGAGTTCTTATTCTTAAAGTCAGGATCCCTTTCAGTCAGTTTCCAAATCCGTAATTCGGCATCACTGCAAGCTGTTACTAAGTAAGTATCATTTTTCATTAATAGTAAAGACCATACCTAAAATTAAACAGTTATTTGGCAGGGATATAGATTAAATGATTAATTAAAATTTAAGGGAACTCACTTCTGTATGGTGTCCAATCAGTGTTTTAAAACAATGTTGGGTCTCTAAATCCCAAAACTTTACAAAAGTGTCTTTAGATGCTGTGATTAATATTGGATAATTAGTCATAAATGCAAATTGTGTAATTGACCCTTTATGTCCACTTAATCGGCAAATGCCTGATTCAGTAATTGTGTCCCAAACAATTACATCTGTATCCTAAAAGTTTACAAAATTTTATATTATCATTTTATTCTTTTCAGTGAAATAAGAACATAATAATTAACCTTAGAACCTGATGCCAGTTTATGTCCAATTCCATCATATGCCAAGGCAGTTATTTCTGATCGATGTCCCGAAAAAATGCAAACAATTTCAGTATTTTCTATATTATAAACGTGTATATTTCCGTCAGCATATCCAACAGCTATACATTTTTTGTTTGGGATGAAACACAGACAACTGACACGGGATTTTTCACCGGGTAACACAACAACCTATGGAAATAATTAAAATGATTGCCTCTAATAGGGTAACAAATAGAAGCGTACCTTTTCTCCCAATCTCAAGTCCCAAATGTAGACATGTTCACAAGCGCCAACAGCAACAAATCTTCCTTCTTCACTTTGCAGTGTTACAAAATTAATATTGCAATTTTGGCTGGTAATAATATTAAAAACTCCACAAGGAACATACCGAAGGTATTGTTTTGTTATTCCCATACTTATAACTAAAATAACGACTGATTCCTATGATAGTATTTAAACACGAAACGTTTTTTACTAGTTTTTATTAAAACCATATAACCATCTTACAGCGTGGATATATTTACAAAAGTAAGGTTATTATTAGTTGGTTGTTGCTTATTACATACCATAGATATTTGCATACTGATGCAAACTTACCAACTAAATTGATTATGCTTTTTGAGTATGCAACACATCTAACAATAAACTTATGCATTTGCCTACATAAAAAAAGATAGCATCAACTATAAATTTAAATTTATTAATAAAATATAAACTTATCAAACATCCTACAAACACATGACTATAATAATAAATAAAATATTTCTGTCTTCCTATTTTACAATTTTTTACTATTTAGTAAATCAAATTCATATTCAGAAAGAGAAACAACTAGTTCTAATGTAAAAATTCGATTTATGCATAAATTACTTTAAATAATAAACGAAAACATAATGTAATTAAAGCATTTGCTAAGATAATTAACCGTAAATATGCACTGACAAAAACACGCGCACATATACTAATTTAAGATGCTGCAATAGCAGTTTTCCTCACAGCTGCACTAAGTAAAGCATCAGTATCTGGTTGTTCTGCCATTATTTTCACTCTTATCCACTGCAATGTTCGTGAAGATTCTTTCAGTGCACTCAATACAGCCTGTACATAAAGACCATCTTCAAAATTTGCTGCCAAATTAACTGGTTCTTTAATCCAACCAGCTCTTTCCTTAACAGGTAAAAAGGCTTCTTTTAATGCAGCAACCATTTTAAATAGACCTTTAGTAAACGGTTTTGATAAACTTGTGTTTGGAATAACACAATAGAGAACTTCTTCCCTTCCTGACTTTTGGCAACCAAAAAGATCTTCACCTCTGACTACGAGATAGCCACTGTTGCTAGACACCATCACTTCCTGCTGATAACTGTTGCAGATTTGATGACTTTTTAATGTTACACAAACCAAAACACTATCCTCTAGATCCATTTGAAATGTACAAAAGTCTGGAGCTGAGATATATCTAATACCATTTATATTTTCTGAACTATGTGTAAATGTTCTCATAACTGCATTAACCCTCAGTGCTCTTTTATTAGTTAAAAAGGATACCAGATCTATTACATGACTTCCTACCAAATTTAATATACCTCCACCCATTAAATCATCACATTGCCAATTGTACATTTCATTAGTACCATATAAATAACTACACTGAACATTGATTTCTATTAATGTAACATTTGAAATTAAGTAACCCTCATTTATAGCTTTCTGCATGTGCATAAAGGCTGGTAAGAATCGAAATGAATAATTTATAAGAGAAATCAATGAAGGATAATATTGACCAGCTTTTACCATTCGTAATGCATCAGATTGACTTAATCCAGCCGGTCGGTCACAAACCACATGTTTGCCTATTCCTAATGCCTTTACTGATATCTGTGCATGTAAAAATGGAGCACACAAAACAAATATAAGATCAACTTCCTTAAGTAACAGTACATCATCAATTTGGTTTGTAAAAAAGGAAACGTTTAGTTCCTTAGCCGCATCTTTTGCATCTTGCATTGTTTTGGACCAAATTGCTTCAACTTTAAAACCATTTTCATTTAAAATAGGAACAAGAATCTTCACAAGCGGACCTGTTCCAAAAACTCCAATACCCGGTAACATTTTCTAATCAATGTAGTCCTAAAGACAAATTGAAAAACTTTTTGTTGTTCTTATTTCTTCACTACTATCGTAAAATATTTTATTCTTTACAACTAATATTTGTAGTAGTAAAATTTAAGGTTATAGACCATAAATTAGTAACAGACCTATTATCTATGGTAGTAGACCTTGAATTGAGTATATGAATATAGTCATGATTATAGATTAAAAAAACAACACTATATATTTCCATAATCTATGATAAAGGTCATAGATAAGTAAATAATAATTAATAACAGTTATTGAATAAAACATACATTTTTAATAAATAAATAGAAGGTATTCCGTGCATTTGTTATTAGTGAATTGTCGTTGATGCCCTTCTTCGCTCAGCACAAACTTAATTAAAGCTAAATCGTAAAATAGTGTGAAGCGTTACTCTTGTCACCACATTGTATTAACAGTCAATGAATTATCTATGGTCAATGAATCTACGGTCATAAACATGTAATAGATGTGAACGTATAACCTAGATTAAGGTATAAAAATATTAATCGAAATTATTATGAAAAATATTCTCTAAATAATGACGAAATGGGTAACGTAGAAAAAGTAAGTTCGAATTTTGTATTTTTTACAGATCACATATATCAACTAATTTTTAGGATAACACTATTCAGTTTCTTGACTTGACTGGTATAGATGAGCAAGAGCGACATTGGTTACTATCCACATTGTTTTCTGCTAATGAACGAATCAGATTTCCATGGAAAAGTTGTTCGCAAGCAAAATTAAACGGTAATAAAGGTAATTTACATGTAAACGTTTTATATGCTTACCTATTTGTAGGAAAAAATTATGCTGAAATAGCATCAAGTTCATATGAAACTCATGTAAAAAATGGTCTGTTAAACTGCACTGAAAACGTTGTCTCAAAGGCCAACGTAAATGTTAGTTATAAGGTAGATATAGATCCCCAGGTATTAAGTCACCCAGGTTCACATCAAATTTTGTCAGAGGCAAACAGAATTCAGTCTTACGCTGTTCATTCACAATCAACCACGAGCAGTGTTGTTCAGCAGTTGAACACCACAAAATACAGCCCACTGAACAATTTAGGTTTTCAAGCTAATGATGTCAAAGAACCAGTCATTTCGCTGCCAGGCAATCATTCAGCAAATTCACTTACTCAAGATAGTAGTCGTATGTCTATCAACAATAATAAAAATTATGATTGTAGTTATGAAGGCTATAATAATCTAAAATGTGAAACTGCTCTGGACTCTTATATTAAATGTGATAATATTTCTTCAGAAAATGAAGATGTGTCTGCTCATACAAATAGTAAAGAAGACTTAAAACAAAATGATTCAGGTATATTTTCTACATTTTAAGTATTTGTTTCATAAGATTTTGTGTTATTGCAGATGAGAAACAAAAATTAAATAATGTAAATGTTTCAACACCAGTTAATTCATGGGCTAGTTTATTCAATAAACCAAAAAATGAAAAGCCTTCTGAGAGTGTTATTCAGTCAAAGCCTCATAATTTTGAACAAGTGTTTAGCCAGAACAACAATTCTAACAATAAAGGTAAACATCCTAAAATATATCTGGGGGATCCTTGTTTACATCGAATGGGAGGCAAGTATATTATTTTACAATATATTAAAAATGTGCTATGTGATTTAAAACCTGTTTTAAGAATTTTTCATAAACTTCACTGTGAAAAACCAAATAATTAGTCTGCAACCCCGAGGACTTATAAACAAGAGTAATTATTGTTACATAAATTCAATATTGCAAGCTCTAATAGCATGCCCCCCCTTCTACAACCTGTTCTACGAATTGTCTAGAGACACCTCGTTCTTGAATGAAAAAAGAAAGGATGCTCCTGTTATTACAAATGTGTAAGTTGGTTTTTTCTATTTAATTTTGATTTTGTTTAATAATAGTTTTGTAGGATGAAGTTCATCAATGAATTCAATCATTTGCCTGCAGACTTGAGAATAAATAGACGTACAGATAAAAATTCAAAGAAGAAAGAGTTAAAAGTAATGATAAATTGTGATCCACCAATAGAGCCTAATTACATATATAAAATGTTAAACGGGATAAGAACAGATACTTTTCTGGTGGAAGGAAGACAAGAAGATGCTGAAGAATTTTTAGGATGTCTTTTAAACGGTCTCAATGATGAAATGCTAGAGGTTGTAAAAAACGAATTATTTGAAAATACCGTGTAAATTATGTGCAAATATTACCTTTTAGTTAATTAAAATAGTTGATGATGTATATGCAGAAAATAACATTAACATTGATAAAAGTAAAACAGATGATAATCAGTTGGACAAGGACAAAGAGTGGCAGGTAATGGGTCCCAAAAACAAAGGTAGTGTCACAAGGAGAATGGAATTTATTAAAACACCAATCAGCAACATTTTCGGGGGATCCTTACGTTCCAGAATACACAGGGCGGGGGATTTGTCAACTGATAACATACAACCGTTTTTCACATTACCGCTTAATATAGAAGTAAGTAAAATTCAAGAAATTTTTTTAGTTAATTATAACTTAGCTCGTAGCTTTACATGTATGTATAGGAACAGTGGTATACATTACAATTTGATACAAATCATTAAGTAGAATAATAGACAAACTTGAACATTTGAATAACTCTGATCAATGTAAATAATTTTAGAAAGCCACGTCTGTGAGGGAAGCATTAGAGGTACTAATTTCAAAAAATCAATTAGAAGGGGTAACATCGTCACGAACAAATCAGGAAGTCGAAGCGTGGCAACAAGTGACCCTTGAACAGCTCCCTGTTGTCTTAATACTTCACTTGAAATGTTTTGACTACAAAATGGACGGTTGTTCGAAAATAATTAAAGCTTTAGAATTCCCGGTTGATTTAAAAATAGATTCGAGTAAGTGACGCATATCAAATTGACGATTATCAAGACTCATTTGATTTCTTTTAGAATTGTTATCATCTAAAAATAACTATACAGCAAAAGAGAAGCAATACAAGTTGTTTGCTGTGGTCTACCATGATGGTAAAGAGGCGACCAAAGGTCATTATATCACAGACAGTTATCACATCGGATATGCAAGTTGGTTGAGGTATGACGATTCTTCTGTTAAAGTTGTTTTAGAGGATCAAGTACTTAAACCACATGGAACTAAAGTTCCTTATTTACTTTTCTATAGAAGAAGCGATTCTGTTAAGAGTAAATAGAAATAAAAAGGCCTTTTTATATATACATTTTGTACTTTTACCTTTATATAATATATTTATATATTAGAATAACAAACAACAATAATTCAATTTCGATAAATAATTAACAGTTTTTGCTTTAAAATCATGTTTAAATTTCCATCAACATCGTCCACTTCTTTCTTTAGTTACATCAAGTAATTTATAGGCTGGCAAATACTTTTTAATATTTTGTTTTGGGTCGTGATAATATAAATAAGGATTTAATTTTGTATTTAAACGGCTTCCAATTGATGTATATCCCTGATCATACAATTTACAATAAGGTACTTGTAAATCTAACAGATAATCCCAAATAAAGCTGTAGTGCCAATCCAAAAGAGGGCTTACTCTCATTATTTGAGGCCAATTTGGGTCTGTCATCTTGACCAGAAAAAGAATTTTTGTAGCATAAAGAATGTTAAAGAGTTTGTTTTATAATTACCTGAAATGCTTTCAAATGAAATGCAAAAGGATCATCCCTTCTTGTTCCCATTAAACAAGCTTTTATATTTGGCTTACTTTTTAAAACAAATTCCAAAGCATCTTTTACTTTAGTGCTAAATTTCAATAAATTTAAATTGTAAAATTGCCTACAGTGCTCAACAAATTCTTCTAGTTCTTCAAAAGGATCAGCACTTTGAACGTACAGACAAAGGGGCCTCAAATTGCGGTCTGAATAATTTCTTTTAAGTACAGCAAGAGTCAAATGAAGAAGAACCATACAGTCTTTGCCTCCATTAAATGCAACAAGTACATTTTCAGGTTCGTATGTTTCAAAACACATTTCAATTGTCTACAAATTACTCAAAATAATGAAATTACTATTATAATTAAAACAAAAATTGGGGAATACCTTTCACTTACTTCTATTGATTCTTTCACATAAGAAAAGTTGTAATTATAAACAGTGTCTTGGAGATTGGTGCACTCCTCTACTTTGAGGATGGCTTCTTTAAACATGTCTTTCAAAATTTTTTCTGTTGACAATAAATTTTCTAAATTCACTGAAGAAATGGTTACAGTTAAGTAATGATGATTTTTATTCACATTCACTGCAACACCATTAATGGTGTCAACAGGAACATCATACTTATCAACTTCTTGATCAATGTATAGTACCCTCTTCAGATTATTTTTAACTAACCTTCTCTTTAAAAAAGGCACTACATAAGTACTTATTGGAGATTCCAATGTTTCAACGAAAAATATAATAAATAAACCTTGTATATAAAGAACAACATTATTGCCTGAAAAATCTTGACTGGATAAAACTTTAATGTGTTCTAAAAGGCTTACAGTTTTTGAACAAAAGTTTACACATCTTTCTATCACTTTTTCATTAAATATCTTTGAAATGCTACAATTAATGTGTGTTAGAATATCGAGATCTATTGTGTCAGCAATTAAAAACACATATTCACATTCCTTTAAAGAAATTTCAACAGCATTGGCCACATCACAGCTGGAAGTTATTGGCAGTACTCTTTTTATCTTGATTCTCACATCATGTAACGTTTTAGGAATTAGTGATGAGATTTTTAGAATATTTTCTTTCGTATTATTACTATACAAAAGAACAGAAGCTGAAATTTCACTCATTTTCCTAACAAAATTTGCTTCTTTCTTCTCTTTTTTTCGGTTATATAAAATACCTTATTGCTAAACACAAGGAATTAACGAAATTAACACACGTTATTATCAACCACTGCAAAGTAAAAGAAAATATTCGCAAAGAAATATTACCAAAACTTATCTTCTTGCATTAATTACTGATAACAACGATAAGGTACTTATACGTTATAATATGTTACAATGTACGTAATTTATTTAGTAATGTTTTATTAATTAAGGTAATCGAGACATTTTCACTCACTTTTGCGATTGTACATAACCTCCTTTTTTGACATTTCAGTTTTCTTTATTTATTTTCGTCCAATTACACTTCAAATGGTTAGAGAGCGCTAGATACCCTTTAATTTTTGTTTTTTGTTTGTTGAATACTACTCATTTACCACTAGGTGTCGCTAGTTGTTCCATATTTTTGATTTTTACTATTGCTCTTCGTGTATGATGTGTTTTATAACCTCATAACCTCTAATACGTCAAAAACAAAAATTGAAAAATTAATACATCTAATAAATGTTATAATATTTAAATCATATTTAAAAATAGTGCTTTTATGAAGTCGACATTATATTTGGGATTGTAATTACGTGTTTACAGTAATCAAATGCGTAGAAATGGTTATTCAAAATACCGCTTGTAGAAGACCAAAGGTTAGTTAAAGGTGTTAAACGTTTTCAATAAGCTTAAATGTTAAAATAGTAGTTCAATTTTTAATTTATTCATTAATGACAAACACTTTTAGGAAATGAAAACATAAAAGTCACAAGTTGTATATTAAATAAATCATGACCAACAAAAGTGGAAGGTTTGGACCATTGATAGGAGCAGTGGATGAAGGTACTACCTCTTGTAGATTCCTAGTAAGTGCACAGTATGTGCAATTTATCCTATTGTATAACACAATTACCCTTTATATTATTCAGGTGTTTGCAGCAAAAACAGCAGAAATTCTAACTTTTCACAAAGTTTCAATTCCTTTTAATAAACCTCAGAAAGGTTGGGTTGAACAAGATCCAAATATTATTTTGCAGAGTGTTATACAAACAATCAATGTAGGGTGTGATAATCTATTAAAATTGGACATTAATCCAGCTGATGTTGTTGCTCTTGGTCTGACAAATCAACGAGAAACTACCATTGTCTGGGATCCGTTTACTGGAAAGCCACTCTATAATGCTATTGGTTAGTTTTATAAGTAGCAATTTTACCAGTGTTACTAATTATTGTATGTTTTAAGTTTGGTGTGATATGAGAACAACCGAGACAGTAGATGAAATTCTACTCAAAGGAAAAAGAAATAAAAATTTTTTAAAAGAAGCTTGTGGTTTGCCAGTTGGAACTTATTTTAGTGCTGTGAAATTACGATGGCTCATAGACAATGTACCGGTAGTTAAACAAGCTATAGTTGAAAATAGATGTCTTTTTGGGACTGTAGATACTTGGCTTATTTGGGTAACTTTTTTGACTTTTATTTATAATATTTGGTAGCAATTATCATTTAGTAAACAAAATTTAATAAAAACAATGAGTTTAGTAACTGCCTATTAAAAATGTCAACATTTTTTAAAGTAACATTAATGAATAATTTGCTTTAAAAGTTATACAATTTATTATTATTACATATATTCATAACTGCTTTAAAAGCATTATCATATTATCTGCATAACTCTAAATTTATTATCCACATAAATACATAAACAAAAAAATTATATAATTAATGTTTTGTTGTAAATGTTTTAGATTTAGAGTGTTGGAGTTGGATATTGAACTAATCCATTAGAATGANTCTTCTTAAAGTAACATTAATGAATAATTTGCTTTAAAAGTTATACAATTTATTATTATTATATATATTCATAACTGCTTTAAAAGCATTATCATATTATCTGCATAACTCTAAATTTATTATCCACATAAATACATAAACAAAAAAATTATATAATTAATGTTTTGTTGTAAATGTTTTAGATTTAGAGTGTTGGAGTTGGATATTGAACTAATCCATTAGAATGATAAAACCTAAAAGGTAATGAAAAGATTTCAACTTTAAATTTTATTAAGAACAATAACAGGATTACTTTACTTATTTTATATTGTTTTTAGTAGATAATGTTTCAATTTTGTAATGCCTATTTGATTTCTTAACAAAAATGTTGACATTAAAATTTAAAATGTTTTGAAACATTTACTGATTTTCCTGATTATTTTTAAAAATTTCCCACTGAATTGTAAACATATGTATTAAATATTTCAGAATTTGACTGGGGGTGTCAAAGGTGGATTGCATTTAACAGATGTAACTAATGCATCAAGAACAATGCTGATGAATTTAAAAACGTTAGCATGGGATGAGCAACTGTGCAAAATTTTTAAAATTCCAATGCACATTTTGCCAGAGATCAGAAGTTGCTCTGAAATTTACGGGTATCTTACTGAGAGCTTTTTGAAGGGAGTACCCATTTCTGGGGTACGATCATTATTTTGTTATTATTATATTATATTATACAAATAAATGTTTTATTTCAGTGTATAGGCGATCAACAAGCAGCATTAGTAGGACACATGTGCTTTCAAAAAGAACAGATAAAATGTACTTATGGATTAGGTAGTTTTTTACTTTGTAACACAGGAAACGCGGTGAGTATTTGCAGTTTAATGGTAATTCTTAAGTTCTTGTTTCGCTGTGGTCCATAGAATATGAGCTTTTCACATGTTCATAAGATTTCTCTGATTAGGAAGATTCTAAGGACCACGGCAGGGTAGCCTCAAGAATTATAATCAATAATCTGCGTTTTTATTTTAATAGATTATTAATTCTGAGCACGGTCTTCTATCCACAGTAGCTTATCAGTTAGGGAAAAGTAAACAACCAGTTTTTGCCCTCGAGGGTTCTGTCGCAGTAGCAGGTGAATGATATTACATTACTAAGATTTACAATAAGAAAATGTTTACTTAGTAACAAAAGACCATGTGTAGGCCTTTGACTTGTCCTATGCCCTCTATATATTTGAAGTTAATTCCACCGCTTTTATTCTAAAAATTCAGCAGGTGCTTTTCATAACTACCCCTTCAACTTTTTATTAAAAAAAGAATCTCTGTATTGTGTACTTTGTTAGGGGCTGCGATGAAATGGTTGATAGACGATCTCAATATAGTTGACAGTGTATCTGATTTGGCGACCATTGCTAAGAATGTTAACTGCAAAGGAGAATTATATTTTGTGCCTGCATTTGGTGGACTTTATAGTCCACATTGGAATAAGGAGGCCAAGAGGTACGTTTGTGATCAGTAAAATGTCAGTACAATTTTTTTTATTGTGTTTGTATTACTCTGATAGTATAATATGTGGTCTAACCGATGAGTCCAAACCAGGACACATAATTAAAGCTTTATTAGAAGCTGTGGCATTTCAAATACGAGATATTTTAGAAGCTCTAAAACTAGATTATAACATTCAGCTGTCAAAACTTCTGGTCGATGGTGGAATGGCAGCAAACGACTTTTTCATGCAAATTCAGTCAGATATTTGCGGAGTGACGATTGGTATTATTTATAATAGTTATTGTTAATGGTCTTATTAATTAGAAACATAATTTTTTTCAGTTAGGCCGTCAGTAAATGAAATAACTTGTTTGGGTGCTGCCATAGTTGCAGGGATTGCAGAAGGAATAGAAGTTTGGGATTTAAATTACATGTCTTCAGTACCCAATGACGTATTTTATCCATGTATTTCGGAAAATGGTAAAGTGTTAAAAGGAAATTAAACTTCCCATATTAATTAAACTTTTTTAGAAAGAGACGTTAAATATAATCGTTGGAAATTGGCAATTGAAAAGAGTTTGGATTGGAATCGTCAATACGAAGGTTACTCAGGTATTTATTTATTTTTTTTTGTATTTTTAGTGAGCAAAGAAATAATAATTTTAGGTCGAAGTAGGCACAGCCAAATACTTAAGTCTTTACCCGGAAGCCTCTTTATTATGAGTTCCTTTATTATGCTAGTAGTTGCAGAATTTTTAAGTAAATCTTGATCAATCGTTTTTCTTTACATTACAACAGCAAAAGTACAGATTGAATTTTTTTTTATTTAACATTTTGCTTTAGAAGTTTATTAAACGAAATGTAGTTATTATTTTGTTATCTATTTGTAAAGTTCCATGCTTATAATATTAATTACGTCCCTGTTGTTAATATTGTTGTTACAATTTCAGTGGATAGATATCCCAAAATAAATGTCGTGTTACGCCACTGCTTTGACTATGAATTATTATTTCCCCCACTCCTTCCAAAAAGTAACAATAATATTTAATATACAAAAATAATAGATTAATCTATGGTGATAATTAGTGTGTCATTTGTGTGTATGGTCGGTTTTTAATTTTTAGTAATTGCTAAGGTAATTACTCTGTTTTTATTAATAACTTCAATTGGCAAGATTTTCTTTTGTTTTTAATGTTGTTTGTATATTGTTTTTGACAAAAGTTTATTGGCAAATTTTGCTTATTTGTTACGTTGTTCATTTTTATTTGAATTTTGGCGTTATTTTATAAGTTAATGTTAATATCCGTTTATTTAACATTGATTGATTATGATTTTGTTTTTTACAAATCCTAAAACTAAAAGGATCCGCAGTAAGTTTGCAAGGTAGAGATGCCCACCCTGTAAAGTCTAGTGACATTTTGTGACGGTATGTTAGTCTGATTTCACATCGTACGTTACGCGAAGCCGACAAATATGGCAGTGGCAGTGTCTTTGTACAATGTAAAATCGCGGAAATCGGTATTTTTGAGTATTTATCGGTTCATTTGTGATAGATTTATAAAATATGGTTAGTGTTCGACTGTTTTACATATAGTGCGCCAATTTGGTTGTTAACATGTACCTACTAATAAACCTTAGATTACGTGGCCATCAATACGACATAAACATGGCGCCGACAATGCTTTCTGTTGTTTATAACATCTTAGTCGAATGAAAATACAAAATCGTTTAATTTACATCTTCATAATATATTTATTGAAACATTAAGTGAGCGTGTTAAATTGTTATACGCGATTATTACGGGACATGGTGGCATGCAGATTTTCTAACCTACAATCATGGGTGTAAAATACAGCAGATTCTCATCGTTGAGTGAGTTTTTACCTTTTATATTTTATTGTTTGTATGTATAGAAATTAACCGATGGTAACGATCAAATGCAAGTATAACTAACTAATTAGAATTTTTTTCTAAATGGAACAGTTCCCATGCAGAAATTTGTGCTTGGGCTTTTGTTGAGTTTTGTAACGACCCTAACGATTTACTTGCTTTACATAATCCTAAAATCTCCACGGCAGCGGTCGCACTAAACAATGAGCTTAGGCCATTTAAGAAGATTAGAACTAGTGCGCGTCATGTGCCACCCTTTATGAGGTGGATTATGTAGCAGGGGACGATACCGAACCTTTTGCATTAGCTTGCCCTTGTTACAGATAAATAGGTGTATCAGTGCAGATATTCATTGTCATCATCCCTTCGAAACCATAATCATTTCGGAAGTGAGTTGTAAAATTGGCAGCACACAATGAAATTTAATACACAGTTATTAGTATAGGTATATTATATTATGCCAGTGCAATAAAAGGTTAATTTTTACTTGTTCAGAGTTTAACTAAACCCACTCATAGTAATGTTAATTCATATTGTTTTTCTCTATCCTTAATAATGAGATTTTGTTATCGAGTAACCATATTAGAATATAGCCTTTCACGGCCTGCATCCATGTTAGAATTATGATTAGAGATGAAGGGTCGTGGCCTAAATGAACTGTTACTACAGCAGACATCATCAGTGGTACTTCGTTGGTAACGTCGGTGAATTTATACCTCGAAGTCTCAGCAGCGGTTGATTTCGGGGTGTAATCTCCGTAGGTAGGTTCACATGTTCCGTCAGAAACTACGATTGATATCTTTAGTGATACTGCATTGATAGCATCGGCAAAGATAGTACCTCGAAGCTTCGGCAGCGACTAACTTCGAGGTATAACCTCTATGGTAGAATTATGTTTTTTATGCTGAAGGACCGTTGTCCAAATGAACTGTTAGGTCTAAATGTTTTGTCGACAACTGCCGCTAACTTCTTCACTGGTACTGCGTTGATAATGTCGGCGAAGATTATACCTCGATGTCTCGGCAGCGACTGACTTCGAGGTTTAACCTCTATGGTAGAATTATGTTTTTTATGCTGAAGGACCGTTGTCCAAATGAACTGTTAGGTCTAAATGTTTTGTCGACAACTGCCGCTAACTTCTTCACTGGTACTGCGTTGATAATGTCGGCGAAGATTATACCTCGATGTCTCGGCAAAGACTGACTTCGAAGTATAATCCTTTATGGTAGAATTATGATTCGGGCTGAAGGGGTCGTAGTCTAATCGTAAATGAACTGTTAGGTCCAAACATTTCTTGGACAACTGCTGCTAACATCTTCAGTGGTACTGCGTTAATAACGTTGGTAGAGATTATACTTCGAAGTCAGCCGTTTCAAAGACTTCGAGGTATAACCTCCGTGGTAGAATTATGATTCAAACTGAAGAGCTGAAGTGAACTATTAGGTCTAAACGTTTCATCGGCAACTGCGGCTGAAATCTTCAGTGGTACTGCGTTGATAACATCAGCGAAGGTTGTACCTCGAAGTCTCGACAGCGACTTGAAGTGTAATCGAAGATGTCAGCCGTAGTTCCCAACGAAACATCTGCACCTTAATTCATATTCAGCCCGAATTATGATTCTTCCAAGTGATCGTATTATTTTTATCGTGTTGAAATCATGTAAAGCAAAAGTTTATTGAAGGTTTTAACTTATTAGTAAATACATAAATTTTTGTTATTAATTTTAACGGTTTCTGTTTGAGGTCAAGGTACATGTCGTTTGTAATCTCCAGCGGGAGCAAGCGTGGCGTTGTATTTTCGAAAACAAATCCATCGAAACCGCGGGTATTGTTTACCACCACAATTACGCTGTTGTGCGAACGGATCATTAAAAATCAGGGAGGAGCACGCGTTACTTGAATCCTTTATGCTCTCAATCTGATTTTCTCACATCGCTGAACGCATGGCTATGGAAATTTACGAAATAATGAGTGCATATTCGTAGAGGTCATTGTTTATTAATAAAAAGGAGCCGAATAATGAAATGTGCCGTTTGAATGCAAGCAGCGTTTTTTCTTTGACGATTTCATTCCGCCCAATTTGTACCCACTGGTGTTTAAATAATGAAAATTTGTATTTATGGTTCAATTGATTTTACTGAGTATTAATTCCCAATTGTTTCATTAGTCCTTACAATTGCTACATACCATATCATCACTTATTTCTATTAGTGTTTATTTTTTAATATGCGTCAGAAAGTCAACTGCATATCAAAGCACCTTATATTATTCAATGTATGAACATTCTTTTCGACCCATGTTTTTGTTTCTTCACGATAGCTACCTGCAGTCCAAAGGAGAAAGATCTTCATCTCCTGCTTCGTGCTTAACACAGCTGGTTTATTTCTAAGAATAATGTAGTATACCTACCTCTTGGATATTCAGGGATGTAAACCGAATAAAGTAATATTACATATTACTTTTCATACAAAAAACATTCCAATTGGCTAGATGTTCAATCATTTACTGATTAGTGCCTGGTATCTAATAATAATCCATTCTGACGATAGATCTTTGCACCTTCTCCCTCTTTTTGCAGTCCCGTAATTTTTAGTTTCATTATTATTCGACATTGGCCATATCATCCAGCCTATATGCATAAGATTTTCTCAAGCATGTCAACGACTAAATTAATTTTAATACGTGCGACCCCTTTTTTTTTATTGTTATTGGCTTCAGTTCTGTCAGACGGATTGTATTTATGACTCTCGTTTATATACTAGTTAACGTAAGCTTGTTTAAATTTCAAACCCAAATTAGGGAGCTTCACCGCAGGTGTAGCTTTTCGGACTACATATTTTATACATTAATGACGGCTATATGCGAGAATACTCGATACCTACCACATGGGAGGACCACGTAGGTTCATATTCAGAAACACGTTTATTTTAGTAATAAAACTTTCTGATGTAACGAATCTTTTATTTCTTCTTTATTAATTGCGGGCATAAGTGTCAAGATAGAATTAGACTTTAAAATGAATCGGTATATCGATCTTTGTTTCATTTTCAATCGATAGTAGTAGGAGTAAGTGTGGATAATTTTTACATCCTCCCCATCACTGTTATTGTTCGTTCATCAGCTCACAATGGGGCGTTGACGACTCACTTTGCGCACCGTTTCTCGTCGCGGAATATTTTGCGTGAGAGTGAGAGTAAAAATAAAATGAAATAATAATATGAAGCTGTAAAGTTTTCCGAAAGCCATAATCGACACAGCGGGTCAGATGAATTTTGCAGGGGGTACTCGTTGTTCCATGACTGTTCCACGCACGTCTCGTCCACTTCACGCTCCATACTGTTAATAGGAATAATCGGCTGAATTGTATTTACTTGTGGTTTTGCAGACCAAGCCGGTCACCGCTACAATTTGTTGGCGGCAATTTTTTCACGGACACGGTCAATACCTATATGGTTACAACAGTTGAAATGCACTTATTATCGGCTGATTGCTGGAACGATTATTCTGATTTGTTATTATATTTATATTAACACTAGTTGAACCCGTACAATTGTGGACGAATGGACACCGTTGTCGATTGTTAATTAGCCCTGCAAATGGTGATATTTCCCAGTGGTGGCATGGACATGCTCTTCCTTTCGTTCGATCGTTAATTGTAATGGATTAACTCTATTAAAAAATCCGAATAAACGACAATATCCTGGATGTCGAAAGTAGGTAGTTAGTTCAATCCTTTAGTTAGACCTTTTAGTAAGTCGTATCGTCAGAGGAGCTGGCTTCACAAATTTTCATTACAAGAACACCTACGCTATTCCACAGATATTGGCATATTCTGAGGTACATGCATATATAAAATGAAGAGTGCAGATGTAAATTATCTTTGAGCTCTTTTTAAATATTAGGTCAGAACTATTCTGATATTGTGTATACGAGAATAACCGTCATATCATTTGTTTGTTGGATTCTTATGTATGGTTTGTTAAGGAAGATTTCGCTCTTTGTGACGTGATCATACTAATTAAGCTATCTGAATTACGTTTTAACGAACCCGTTGGGTCACTTCCACGTAACACTTAACAGTCTTCCATCAGATACCGATTAAATCAGACTTAATCGCAGCACTTATCGCAGCTGTTCTATAATTTTTAATTAGGAAATCAAAGCATTACTTTCTACATGTACTTACATAAATATTGTGTACACAAAGAAGTAGAAAAGAAAAATACCACGAATAAATTACAATTTCAAATAAAATCATTAACAGTACGTTTACATGGATTTATTTATAATAAAAATCAAAGCCAAGTTGTATTATCGCAAACAACACCTACGTTTCGTCTTTATTGTATAGGGCTTCTGCAAGATAGAATGCAAGTTTATTGTTTATTTGTGTGCAGATGGTTTCAGATCTGGAACGGACAAATAAGCATGTATCAGTTGCATTCGAAGAAAAGAAAAAGTAAAAAGCCCTATACAATGAAGACGAAGCGTCGGTGTAGTTTGCTGTAATAAAGTGTTTTTGTCCCTAACTCGGTCGTAATTTTTATAATAAAATACATACATATGTGGGAAGAGGAATAAATGGAAACTAGATTGAATATATGAGTATAATAATTGTAAATGTTGTAGATTTAAATTTTAGATTAGAAAAATTAAACAAGAGTTATGTGGTATTAGTGTTTTGAAAAATTAACCTTGTTCTTATATGTATGTGAAGCATAAAAAGTTTATTTCATGTCTTAATTTATGGTGGAAGCGCAAAGAACGATAACAATAAAAAAAATGTTCATGTTCACAAATCTGGAGCCGTATGATACATTCATCAGCGCGTTTCTGAATGTAAAGAATTGCCTGGGGTACTCGGGATCGTGATCATTCGATGATTACAATGTGTATTATAGCGGGTCAGAGCGAACGTTCTCTCTCAATATTTCTTATGGAACGTACGAAGAATATGAAGAGCCGCTGCTTGCTGGTCGTGTAGTTAAGGAGTATCAATCATCCTTGACAGCTTTATAACTTAGTTCAATTCAAAAACACATCAATATAAATTACCTGTGGGGATTTTAAATATAATTACACGGAGGTGAGCGTTCAAGAATCGTGTGTTTATTGTCACCAATTATTGTAGTCGATGATGAATACGACTTACCAGAGAAATCGTTCGCGGTTAGTTTTAATTAGGCACTTTGCGAAATTCTCAGCTATTTATCTATAACTGTTAAAGGCCAGACATTTTTTTCGGGAAAGATATGCCTACATCAGGAGTAAAAAATTAGCGTGGTCAGATTTTGTGGATGATATAGCAGTATTAACATCTAACAAGGGGGACATAGAGACATCCTTGAAATAAAATGGAAGCGGTATTGACATAAGAGCATGGAATGGAAACAAACGAAAGTGAATCAAAAACATTGGCCTATAACAGAAATGACTGTAGGATTGAGATAATAGGAAAACAGAAAACGAAGCTTTGGTGAGCCAAGACTTCCAGCTGGCCTTTGCCCACGTTGTGAACGTTGTTGCCGGCGAAACGTCTGGACTTGATTAGATTTTAGACAACGACCCTTTAGCCCGTATTATAATTCTACCACAATTTCATATTTTGCTTCTAAATTGTAAAGTAAAATGCAAATTCCATTCAGAAGTCTTAAAAGTTTGTTGATGCTCTTACGAGCGATATACTTTGTGGTAACCGTATCTTAATGTAAAGGTTGACCTGCAGACTGCAGATCAAATTTATCCTTCCATTTGATTCACAGCGTTGTCGACCAAAATACCGAGACCATAATAGTCGACTGACCGACCACTTATCGCTCTCGTTTGGCCAATGCGATTATGGATTTTGACGCTCAGTTAATTTCCAATAAAAAAACAACACTGACCTCCACTCCTTGCGGCCGTGTCATTCGCTTTTTCTTTATTATATGACAAACCACTGTAGAATGTTGGTACACTGCAATAACATATTTACAAGATCGAGGGCAGTTTTTTGTTTTAAAAATAAATAAACTGTTATTATTTATATAAAAAGGTATGAAAGTGATAATTAAGAGGAACATGTTTTATGTGTACGGTAATTATGGTTTTTAAATTAACTCACTATCTAACATGGAAAGGCAACCAGGTCTCTATCTAATGAGCTTAGAATTCGAATGCTGACGGGTGATGCTGAGTGACTGACCATAACTATGACCATGTAGTGTTGGTGGTGTAATAAATATTACACCTGCGTTTAAACGAAAAACTGAAGACAACTACAGAACAGACTTAAGACGTTTACGAAATATTTTTTATGTGGTTGCTGTTTTTTTATTATTTTTTTTTTTTTGAAACTTGAGCTCGAGTCGTTTAGATCCAGTTGAGTATGCAAGGCAGAACAGTGGCGGTGATAAATAAGAAGGCGCTGAAACCAGTTTGAGCACTGCCACATAGGTACAACGACAACACAAGGAATTCTCTCCCCAAAGAAACAGTCTTTCGTACTTATGTTATGTATCGTGTGTGAATACTTCATAGTATACAAGCATATACCATCGCGATCAACAAATATATACATCTACAATTAAATAAATAGATATAAGCAATTATTTAAAATAAGTAATCCATAACACATTAAAACTGTTACTGCCTGTAGTGTTTTTTGAATCGAATTCGGTCGATCTTCATAAATCTTCAGTCAGGATTAAATTATAGGTATAGATATAATGTATGTTCTGATGAAGATCGAATCAGGCCTGTTTGCGCCTCATTAAAATACACGCTTAGCAAATCTTAATGAAGCAATTAGCAGAATGTGTTAATGGGATTATAAATAATGTAATGAGTTATTCATTAACGAAGTGTTCGTGAGTACCATTTGCCTTTTTTCTCTTTTACGATGAATGTGATGCCGTAAATTAATTACATTTAGATTACCTATGAACAGATCTTGTTGATGGACTATGGAAAAATTTCAGCACACCTGTAATTCTGAAATGATAAATTCCAAATTCCTTGGGATTAAACACTTGCATACAATAATGATAGGAAGGGAACGAACGTAATCAAAGTGAAACGAGACAAGTTGGCAAAATGAACGAAACAAAAGAGAGTCAGACTGACGACGACGACGAGTGTCGGGTGTAGAAAACACTAGCGACTTGCGACTCGACTAACTCGAAAGAAAGAGTTCAGAGACAGCCGAACAAGAAAGGAGACGGGGCTGACATAACCGCGTACACATTATTAAGATAATAGCAATGCTGTACAAACATGCCTCAAAGCACGAACCATCGTTATATGAATAACGTGATGTCTTACTTGCAGACGTGAGCATCAATCTCACTTTGCTCTCTCGGAACTCTTCGTAAACACGTGTTGGTCAGTACCTACATATTTGAAATTTAAGTTATAATCGAAATGGAATTCATAAGAAGGGATGATTTTTCCATAAAATATTATGGATTCATCCACAAAGATGAATGTTTTAATATCAAAACTCGCATACTAAAAATTAAATACTTTGGTCATAAATAATAATGCAGTAAATATTGCGTAGGAAGGAAACACCTGGGAAGTATGTAGGTACCAGGTTAGTTAGGGAAGGATACCAAATTATGAAAAGGAGACCCGGCAGAAGAAAATTCATTCATTATTTACCTATGACATTCATTATTTTACACGCATATTTTTATATATAGATATATATTATATATTTTGGTGTTTGAATATAGCAGCCTACGATTATACCTACCAAATTTCATCAACCCCTTCAACATCATATTACCTGTTTTTACGTTATATTTTCAAGAGATTAATTTTTTATATCAATAATATCACGAGATGTTGCACCTTGTAAAAGTTATTTAAACATGCTTTCGATACGTAAGGTACCTCTTATTATTCATATGTAGGCACAAATATGTATTCGAAGCTCCCCTTTTGTCTAAGCTTAACAAATATTTAAAGACTGTGCCACGGAGCTGCTACTTTATTTAACTTTAGCACCTAATGTTTGCAGTAAACATTATTTCTCCATTTGCAGCCTCAAACACGCCATTTGACTCCTATTCCCACCGTAAACGACTCGTTTAACAGTAATTTTTTTGATGCACCTATACTAGGTAAATGCGTATCTATCTACATTAGAATAATCGAATGAATTAGAATTACTATATAGATATATGTAATTTTCAATTGAAATATAAAACAAGAATTATATTAGCTTTTTATGCACATTCTCAAGCCGTACACAGCTAGGTAGATTAAAATGTGTCCGCCGCATCGTTAAAACGTTTTTTCGCCTGAAAATGGAAAAATATTAAGATAACATTTAAAAAAAAAGTGTTTCGTACGATCTGGTTCTCCATTTTTATATGGGGTTATTTTCACCACCGGTACATCTCTCCTTTTTACGTCTTCTCTGGATCGATTTTTTAAAGCTTTCCTTAAATTTCTGGCAGCAATGCTGGAATAGTCCAGATATCTATAATGTAAGTTTTCGAAATCTGTCAAAAATGGAGAAGTATTAAAAGGGCGCTATAGAAATTAACAATGGGCATTTTGGAGGAGGAGTAAAAAAAGGACAGATATGATGATAGGACATCGTCTGAGACATGATAGGCTAGTTGGAGACATATTAGAGGCAAAAATAGGAGAAAGAAGGGACGGGAAAGACCTAGATTAGATTAGTGCTCTCGTATAGTTGCGGATGTGGGAAGTTCAACTTTTAGGGAAATGCGAAAATTGGTTCAGGATGTTAGGAAAGAGTGGAGGTCCGTGTCGAATTAGTCTTCGGATTGACGAATTCTAAACAGAATTAAGAATTATTTGCTTTTTAACTTACGTCATTCCAATAGCTCTCCAAGATTCCATATTTGATGAGAAAACTGACAAACCGTAACACTGACCTGTATTTGTATACTTCAAAATAATGACGCTAGATCTCTTGATGTAAATAGATAAGCAAGCATCAAATAGCAAAACCAAAGCCGTGCCTCCGTTATCTTCCACTTCTGTTCATGTTCAATATAGGATAGGGTTTCATCCTCGAAAAGAGAAAAATTATCTGCATAGAATGTCCATTTAGATTTAAAAGCTTATATATTTTATGTCGTACTATATTCTATTATAACACAATAGTATTCCGATCACGTCATTGACTTTTATGTACGTAGCGTTATTTTTTACCAATGCATTGTACAAGTCTGTTAGAGATATATGTGCACGAGCGGTTTAAGAATTCAATCCCAAGTACTGAAAGTGACCGCCGAGATTTGAACAGATTCTGTCTAAACAAGTCAATCAATTACCGATTCTATTTACGGTAGCGCGACTATCAATCTAAATAGCAATGTTGTTTCTGTGTGCACAAAAACTGGAGCTCGCGGACGCATCTTGTCTCTGTTTGTATTAAGCCGAGAATCAGATCCATTTACGGCAAAAACATCCTGTACAAATCGCGCGCGATACTTCAACAAGAAGAAAAAGAAAGTTTTCTTACGAGAAATGCGAACATTACGTATGTAAAACGGTCATCAGGGACCTGCAAAACCATCGCCCTTTTGTCGCTGACGGCTCTATCTTCGGTACAAACCAAGAAACTTCGGGCACCGGAGGGAAAGGGTAATAAAAATAATAGATACTACCGAATAGATTTGAAATACATAATTTTAAAATCAATGATTCCTTTTGTATGAAAACCTCTTTAGTAGATTCGTTTTTCTTTTCTTTAACCGATCATTACGTGCTATTCGTGTAAATACCAGACTATTACTAATATACATGACAATTGTTGCGTCTTACATGTAAATGTATAAATACAGGGTGACTCAAAGAGGTGTGACGTTTTTGGAATGGCCGTACCTCCCCCTTTTGGAGGGCTAATTTGTTTTCGGAATGGCAAATATACCTCCGCATTCTCCCCCATTTCAGTTCTCATGGAACTTTGGACGGTGGAACATCGTGTGTTTGTGTATGACACCTATCGCGATACAGATGGTTCAGTTATCGCTACGTTGCGTAAATTTCGACGTCGCTTCAATGTAGCCTTGCAATCAAGGAACTCGATTTTAAAATGGGCTAACACCTTCAGAACCACTGGTTCATTAAGACCTGGTATGCTGGAGGAGGCGATTGAATAGCGAGGACCCCTGAAAACATCGAAAGACTCCTAACTCTTTCGCTGTGGAAGCCAGCCCTTATCGTTCCGCTAGCACGCTCTGACGTTAAGAATGTCTAATGAAAGTTTTCATAGAATTTTGCAGTTAGACTTACACTGCACTGCACTACACTACCACCCGTACAAGATGATGGTGTTCCGAGAGCTGCAACGCACAGATTTCGCTCGAATGTTCAATTTCACTGAAACTATGTTGGAAACGTTGGGAAACGACAATGAGTGTTGAAACAAACTTCCACCTTTTGCATACTAGTCAACTGAAAATCCACGGTATGGTGTGGAGTTGCTCCATTTGGTGTCATTCTTTCAGGAAACATGAAGCGCTACCTCACCATGTTGCGTGAAGTTTTCGTCTCAGAACTAAAGAGACGGAGGATTAACATGGCTACGCCATGGTTTCAACAAGATACATCTCGTCAGATCATGACTTTTCTAAGAAACCGTTTTCCCGGGTATCTCATTTCATTGCGAAGAGATGCTGAGTGCGCCCCACGATCACCGAATTTGTCGCCGTGCGATTATTATATATAGGGTTTCACAAAAGCCAAAACGTTTGTGGAACAACCCCGAACTCGTGACGAATTGACAGCGGCAATCACTCAAAAAATTCATGCAATTCCAGAAGCAATGCTGAAAACTTTACAGCTCTGCTTCGTGAGTTTATTGACAAAACGGTCGTCATCTTGATTACGTCATAATTTGGTTAATGAATTTAATTTTTATTTTTTTTTATAATTAAATGGGATTATGAATTGAAGATGCTTAAAAAGTAAATATCCAAATTTCTTGAAAAACGAGAGCGCACAGAATTTTTGAAATTAGTCACACCTTCAGTCACCCTGTAGTACAAAAGGCACTGCGTATACATGCCTGCGAAGCTTCTTATTTTAAATGGTTTATGTTAAAGAGAGTTTATGTAAATAGTAACTGTTCTTAAACCAACAAACGGCAGATTAAATACGGAACACGTCTGTAATAATACCGAATTGATATTTTTTTGGATTTACTGTATTTATATGTATAGGCTGGAGGCTGTTTACATTTACTACAAGTGTTTGACGACTACTAACCTAATAAAATTTGGTTTATTTTTCCGTACAAATACATGTACATATGCACATGCCTATGCCTATCTCAAGATAGGAAGAAGTGAAGGTACGTGTCCAACCAGTCTTCGGGCTGAAGATCTTATGATGATGATGATGATGTACCTGTCTATACATACATATTTTATAGAAGGCTGGGTTGTGCTTGGAACCTTCAACAGGTGAAATAAAATGTGCAGAACGCGTACTAACCGACCATTACGCGAATTAGACCATTTTTGGTCCTAGCGTGTAGGTATAGGCATATTTATGTAAATGTGCAGTACGGCATCATTAATAAAAAACAAAGTATTTTCCGGTTTGTTCTTGTAATCGGCTAAAGTTGATTTATGAAGTGACGCTGTTGGTTGTAGTAGTTCTTTGGAAAAGACAATAGACAAGTTCAGTGACAGGGGCCCATGTTTCCAATAATTAATACATCTAGTAAATTGGACACAGCTCCTGCGATTTGCTGAGAGATATAATAATTATATACGTGATGCCAGTGTGGTCGAGGCCGCCTAATGTCTTAATAACTTCATTTATATTTTCAAGGCCAACGTGAATTCTGCCTCAGGCTTTGCTTGCTTGCTTGCTAGCTGGCTGACTGGCTGACTGGCTGGCTTCTTGCTTGGCTATCCTCACAATCCTCTGGTCGTCGGACGTCGTCCATCTTTACACTATTTCATCCTAAAGAGCTTGTTCATCTTGTACCTGCTTTTTGTCCTAACTTCCAAACGAGATGTTAAAATGTACTCATTGCCATCGGCCCGTCAAATTTATAATCTTCTCTTTCTGGTATCTTTTATAATTCCGCTTGCAGAGAACTTATTAGGAGGCAGTTAATAATTTGTGTGTTTCAACAGAAATAAATTGGATCGCAGCAGTCAGTAAATTTATCATACACAACTTCAGTTAATGTCAAAATTTGCTGATTTAATAGTCATTCGTATTGTCATGTGGTATTTGGATGATTGATCTTAGAGCATTAAAATTGGAAAAGGAGTAATTTCCTTTTTAGTGAGAAATGTGGAAGACAACGGACGATATCTCCATTCGTACGTTTGTAAGTTTAAATCACGGTTGTCAGAAAAATCGTTAGTGTTTTCGGGTCTTTTGAGACGCCTCGTTGGACCTAAATGACACCATTCGTGGTAACCTGCCTTATTATTATATTCCACTTTGTGAGACCGCGCTCATTCGGGGCTCTTTGTATCTACAACAACCTAACGTATAGGTATATCTGACAACCATCTTATACCATTGCCATCACACTATGTACTGCCTAGATACAACTACCTACCACTTCTATGTATGTACATTTATACATATTTATGTAAGAGTATACCTGTATGTATTTACCACTGACCACAAGTAGAAGACAGCAGTATCCAAAAAGAACCCGGCCGTAAAGTGGGTGTTCGTACATGACGGTCAAGGTGATTTTCAACTCACCAATTTTAACAGGACCCACAATAGATGAGATTTGTGTATATTTCACTAGAAATGCCTCCTCTCTCCTTAATTATCTTTTATTTATGACTTCCCGACAACGAAAACCAATCACTAAATTTTACCTAAGCCCATCTGACAATTTAACTGTTCAAACTTTCAAGATGATTTTATTATGGAAAACCAGATAAAAACAAAGATTGCTAATTGCATATAAATTTTCACAAGTTACGTTTTTTCAATTCTATTATCACGTTTGTATGATCGGTTGCCGTTGCCCTTACCGTTTCAGGTTTCGTAAAGAACTTTTATATCTATCGACACATGCTGCAAGTAAATAAAATAGTCTTGAAAATGTTAATAAAATTGCAATATTTCGTGGAACTTATTGGGTAGTTTAAATGCTTAGAAGAATTGAATTTTCAATGAATACGGTACGTATAGAGAATAGTTGAGCTGGATTCTGTTGGAATGGAAGTGTTGAAATGATAAAATGAAGACATGTTGATTTTGTCAGTCACGGTACCATCTGACCTGAAACTCTTCTCAGTTTTATGTTTATTGTTATGGTCGGGAGGAGGTAGACAAGGGCGTGCTGGAACGAAATGTTCGAAAGATATTGCGCCACTTTCTGTGACCATTAAAACGAAAACAAATGGTCCTGAGGAAGACAACGTTTTTTTAGTGTTGCATCGTCTTATCGGCGTCAGGTAGACTTTGGTCGAGTTATAAAATGGAATCTCGACTTCTCGATCTGACTCGTTTCAGTAAAATTGGTGAATATTTGGTGTCGCGCTACACTTTCGTCATTATTTTAACGTGAGCGACAAATAAATTGGCGCACTGTTCTCTGTACGGTTTCCATTATGTTTGCATCACCAAAAGTTAGAATTTGAGTTTGCACCCTGTTGGATCTTTACATTGCATTTACGACATTGTCAGTCTTTAATGATTATTCTATTCCTGTTTCGTGTACCTATAAATACAATGTCCAGTTTTGGTTGGCAAGGAATGAAAAAGTAAAGCAACGCCAGTCCAAATTTGTGGTATTTCCAGTTTGTTCCTAGTGTAGAGCAGCGGCGATGGCTTGACAAGGTTTACCGCAGTCACATTTTACATGTATCTGCTCGTCAATCTGCCGACATTGATATAAGTGACGTGAATTTTCAGCCTGTTTGCTGACTACTATATGTATGATTAAGTTGTTCCAACTTTGCTGATGCTAAACCGCTATTCGCTACCTACTACATACTCCCTACTCGCACAGTATTCGCTACTGCAAATAAGGTAGTAATTGCTTCAAGCACTTGTGCT